TATCCACCAATGAAGAAGGCACCACCTCACTATCCAACATGGGCTCTCCAAAACTTCCGGCAGTCTGAGTCCGCAGAATCCGCCTCTGCGGCTGCTGATCTAACCCCCTTCTATATGCCATCTCTACAACTTAAGCCCTCAAGGGCCAATCAAACTTGCTTGTCAATGTCTACCTGTTGAATCCAAGGACACATAGCAAGTAGCATAAGCATAAGGAGAAGTGGAAAGTCCCATGAATTCCTAATCGGATAAGGATCAATTTGGATGCCAAGCAGAAATTCGGTCTTAACCATTTCCCAATCCATGGAAACTATGAATTTCACTCAACCGAGTCTAGTAATTCAACTATATGACTTTGTTTTGAGTAATATTTCCATCAAGAAATTTAAACAACAGAAGATGAAATATGTGTACTTTTTTGCAAGTCCTCACTTAACAGCAGAAGAGATTGAAACAGAAACAGAAACAGAAAAGATCACAAATTAACCACTTGGTCACTTTCGGGGAGATAAAGAAGAGCAAAGCATAGAATATATATATATATAGTAGAGAAATGAAAGTGAAAAGACAGACACAGAGCAATAAAACTCAAAATAGCAATAGGCTCTCTCATTCTGAGCAATAAAACCCACCAGGACCATATATATTGTTCCTAATCATAATCAAACAGAAAACGAAACCAAGAAAACAATATGCGCTGAAATCTGAAAGCTTTTTTTACCGCTTTGTGTTTCTTCAAAGTGAAAAGACAGAAACAGAGCAATAAAACTCAAAATAGCAATAGGCTCTCTCATTCTGAGCAATAAAACCCACCAGGACCATATATATTGTTCCTAATCATAATCAAACAGAAAACGAAACCAAGAAAACAATATGCGCTGAAATCTGAAAGCTTTTTTTACCGCTTTGTGTTTCTTCAAATTACTTAGGCCTTAGCTTGTGCGGGCAGGGCAGCGAAAGAAGCAAGCAAAAGAGAGAGAGAGAGAGAGAGAGAGAGAGAGAGAGAGAGAGAGAGGCGCGGCGCATATGAAGTGGGTTGTT